GGGCGGAGGGGCTGGGGAGGTTAGGGGAGGCACAGGGAGCCTGGGGAGTGGGGGAGAGGAGGCCTTGGGCTACTGTGGGAGGGGGCAGCGGGGCCAAGTGGGGTGGCTTTATCCGCCTTCGGGGCGGCTCCAGCCTCCCCTTTTACTGTAGGCCCTTCTGGGGTCTTAGCAGGGCCGGTGAGGCGGTGGGACAATGCCATTCGCGCGTCCATTATCCAGCTCCTGCTCGGTATCGCTGTAGGACATAGCTTTAGTGAGGCTCAGTTGGGATCTGGCGAGGGAAGATGTCATGGGAGACTTTGTCTCATTTTACTACTCTCAGGAGGAAGAAAGAGCAGCCTTCCACTTCTGGTTTTACTTTCTGGTCAGTATAGGACAGGTCAGGGAAAATACAAGCCCTGGAGTTTGTCAGGCTTCTTTTCTGTAGCTAGCTGTAGTGAAAGAGAGACTTGCTTACTCATTGGGTTAGTTGTGATGTGGGAACCGATGGAAAACTTTTTGTGACTTTGTTGCTAATAATAGAATATCTGGGAAAATAGCTATGTGAAAGTCATCACATTTCCATTTGCTAGTGCATCGCAACGTATATGATTACAGCATAAGTAGTCACAGCAGTTGAGATCTATATCTGTTTATCCAATGCAGTTGTATAACTAATCTGTGTTACTGAAATCTCCAACTTTATTGCTAGATGAACCCAAATAAAATGTGGAGAGTAGGTTCTTACAGCACTCTTTAAAAATAATTGTTTGGAGGGACACTTTTGTAGTACGATCTTAGAGTCAAGGTGTACACAGAACTTATGAGTTCTGGAACAGAAAACGTCATAAATAATTAGTATTTAAAGCCTGGAAAATGAAACTTGCCTGTGCATTTCTGATCTGGAAACTGAAGGAGAGGAGAGGTATGCAGAGTAAGTGATTAAAAGATACTTTCTTTTGAAAATGATTGTAAAAAGAGCTGGGGATGGTGCGTATAGGGGGAGAAGTCTGGCCTTTAGCATTTTAATTAACAGTAGCAATACTGAAATACTGACAATAAATAGGTTAAAAATCAATAATTGATGATAGTGCCTAAATACAAGACTTGCTAGTTCTTTTGGATAAAGATGTTTATCTGCTTAGAATGCTTCTTATATTTGAGTTTCATATATATTTCACTAGATTTGATTTTCATTCTTATTTGAATTTTATTGAGTTGTTCAAGGGTAGCGTTAAATCTGTCTACATTTTGAAGGCTCCTTTGTATAAAGCTTGACTGGTTTGCTGAAGAGGTTTTCAGGAATTTCTTTTTAAAATGTGAAAAAATATGTCCATTATCATTTGTGTCTAGTTTTTTTTTTAACAAGTCTTTGGTACCAATCCATTAAAAATGCTTCAGAATTACAGATAAAACTAGAAGCAATAGAGCATAGAATTTCATTACCGGAAACCTAATGTAAAATTGCAGAAATAGTGAATTACACATAAGTTTTCCTATCAGTGTAGTAGAGGTTGAGAAGCTTAGGCAGAGCAGAAAACTTTAGAGCATTGACTTTATGTTCTTGGGTTCTGACAGTCTTGGGAATTACAGGTTTTGGCTCTTAGTGAAGGAGAGAAAAGTCAAAAAGATGTTAAAAAGAGCATTGAGATCAGCCATAGCAGAAAAGAGTAGGTGATTATATAAGCAAAATACAGTTGCGGGGACAATAAATAAAAGAAAAATAGTCTCTGGTGTGAGATTAAGACATAAATCTATATCTGCAAAGCGTAAGGATGAAGAAAGCACAAAAGGAATGGAAGGTTGTATGAGTGAGTAGCACCAAAGTGGTAGTGCTTGAGATTAGTGAACTGGTGGGAGAGAATAACTGGAAAACTTCTTGTACTAAAAACATTCCTGGTATCATATAAGAAGAACACTGAGAAGAATTATCCACTTAATATCTAAATACACTGATCAAAATGCAGTTTGTTTCAAGTACTACCCCTTAAAACTTGATATCGTGCAGGCTGCCAGCCAAAGACACGCTTAAGAGGGTGTGGGTATGTTATCTTTTATGAGCTTTATGCTCTGCTGTCACAGCATTCAGTTTAGTCCCTCAATTACCCTTTAGAAGTTTTTTTTTTTTTCCTCCCTCTTTTTAATGCTCGGATATTAGTTTTCTTTAGAGGTTATGCCCTTTCTACTAGGGGCATGCTTGTATTGTTGTCACATACCAGCCAAAACTTTAATGTTGAGCACACAGCAATGTTAGTTTATTCAGTTTTCACAAAATGACTTTATCAGGCAACTAATACTATACTTTAGAATTTTTTTTTTTTCTCCTTAAGTTGTACTTCTGATAGTCTCAAATCAGAATAGTCTGGTGCAGGGGACATGTTACTCTTTGTATATTCAGGGCACTGTCAGGCATTCTGCTGTTCAGATGACAGCATTCTATCTTTGAACATTCATATTTCTATACTGTATGTTTTAAAATGCTATTTTCAATATGCAGAGGCATTCAAATGCCATTTGGTTTCCTATCCTGATAAGAAGAGCCCACTTTTTGTCCTTTATATAATCATGAAAGATGATATGACTCTATGGAGCTGATTTTCTTATGACTGTTGTTTGTGCAACTTTTACCCTGACTTCTAGCATCAACTTATTTTTAAATATAAGCTCTTTTTATTAGTATTGTATTTGTCAAATAGTTAAGAATTGTTAATTAAATTGTTGAAGCAAGTTTGTCTTCTATACAAGACTTTCTTTTTTCACTTCAATTCAGACATTGAGTTTCATTTGTAAGCCCTTACATTCAGTGGTATTTATCACACAAGTCTTTTGATACAAAGGAGATATGGTAGGTGTTTTTATTCAAAACACAATCTATTATGAAAGTGTCTTCAGCCCAGCCCATTGTAACGAAAAGGAAAATACGCCCGAGTTGACTGAACTGTGCACTCTAAATGAGTATTTAACTCTTGTGTTCACCTTAGGTCTGTTAAATGACCTTCTTAAGTTTAGCATGAGTGTCTTAAGTCGTACCGTCCTACACCTTACAGTCAATCTTTAGGCTTATTATGTTTTCAGATTCTTGTTGTTGCACAGGTTAATGACCGAATTATTCACCGAGTATTTTGAATTGATTTTGCAGCCTGCTCTTTAATTTAGAGCTGCCACGGCTATGGTCTTGGAACCCAAGCCATTGTTTCAAGCTAGTTCAGGTCCATCAGCATGGACTGCGTTTGATGCAGTGAAAGGTATTGTGTATTTACTTCAGCAGCTGGAAACAGGACTATGGGGAGAGTGTACTGGTAAGGACAGGTGTAAAACAAAGAAAAAGTGTATTAAAGTGTACTTGTGATGCAGGTGAACAGGAATTTGCAGAGTCTTAATTCATCTTGCATTCTGTAACTATACAACCAGGGAAGCCAGGTTCATTAGCACATGTGAAACTGCATACTTTCATCTCTGTCACCAAGTGACTCCTAAAACATACAGATCTTCCTCTTACAGCTTATAGATGTACTTTTTCTTTAAGTTGTTGTGAATCCTAAACGACCTTGTTCTTCAAGTATGTTTCTTTTTCTTTCTAGGAACCACAGACATGGCAACTACACAATCTGTCTTCACATTTGCTCTCTGCATTTTAATGATAACTGAATTAATACTGGCTACAGAGAGCTATTATGATATCTTAGGAGTTCCAAAAAATGCATCTGACCGCCAGATTAAGAAGGCATTTCACAAGCTGGCTATGAAATACCACCCAGACAAAAATAAGAGTCCTGGTGCAGAAGCAAAATTTAGAGAAATTGCCGAAGGTAATACATACTAACTTTAGTCCTAATAACTAGATACATGTTCACATATCTGTGAACAAATGCAGTAATTTAAGTGCACTCTGTTTTTACTGGATAAGGGGTGAAAAGCTTTATTTTCTTATTTCTGCTTCTGTGATGTCAAATGTTCAGTATCAGCATCTGACTCATTTTTGTGTCCTTGCCCATAGGCAAGCCTTTTACACAGTTTAGGCATTCTTGGCTATTTGGCTTATGACTCTTAGCACAAAAGTTTTTGGCAATAGGCCAAAGTTCTTTCCTTAGCACTAGGAGGCTGCTTCAGATATTATTCTTATCTTTTGACCTGTCTAGTAGGATGCAGTTCAGGATTATTAGGGCTTCAGAGAGACCTAAGAGCAGCTTTCCAGTACTTATTTGGAGGTTATCAAGAAACTGCAGCCAAGCTCTTCAGTGGTACATGGTACAAGAGAATAGGCACAAGAGGCTCAGACTGGCTATAAAAATAAACTTTTTTTTTTATCATTGAGGACAGGCAAGCACTGGAACAGGTTGCCCAGAGAGGTGCTCTCTCCATCCTTGGAGGTTTTCGTGAATGACCGAATAAAGCCCTGAGTCTGATCTCATAGCTGACTCTACTTTGGGCAGGAGGTCGTGCTGCTTTCCTGAGATAGGAACTCAGTAGGCAGCTCATTTTGTTAGGGAGAGCTCCCTTCCTCCCTCCTTCCATCTTTCTGATGGCTGTGCGTTACTGCTGTTTTCTTTCAAATATAAATACTAATCTTTATTGCTAGTTTATTAACTGCATTGTGTTATGTGCAGTTCATAGATTGACAATATAATCTGTCCTGATAGTTTAGCCAGATTTCTTTTGAAACAGTTTATTCTGGATTTTAGAATGTCAATCAAATGGTAAGCTTAATTTGACTTACATGTCTAATGAAAGTCTTGCTTGAAATATGTCCTGTGGAGGGAGTGGGAGGGAACTTTCGTTTTGTGTATTTGTGTGTGGTTTGCTTTCCTTTTTTTTCTTTCTTATGAAAGTGTAAATAATAACTTTTTGAACTTTTTTTTTAATGGAAATAGCATATGAAACATTATCAGATGAGAACAAACGAAGAGAATACGATCAGTTTGGCCGTCATGGAGGACAGGGAAGTAATGGAAGCCCTTTCCATCAGTCATTTAATTTCAACTTTGATGATTTGTTCAAAGACTTTGACCTCTTTAGTCAAAACTCACGGTCAAAAAAGCACTTTGAGAGTCACTTCCGAAGTCATCGGGAAGCTCACAGTCGGCAAAGACGTTCCTTCCAGGAATTCTCCTTTGGAGGTGGACTGTTTGATGATGTGTTTGAAAATATGGAAAAAATGTTTTCTTTTAGTGACTTTGAAAATGCACACCGACATGCAGTGCGAACTGATAACAGGTTTCATGGATCTAGCAAGCACTGTAGGACTGTCACTCAGCGGCGAGGAAACATGGTTACTACATATACAGACTGTTCGGGGCAATAATGTTTCCTTTCTGTTTTCATCTCTTTTCTTCTCCTTTCAACATCTTCATAATCTTTCTTGGTTTTGTGCTAATATGGAGAAATTTCTTTAAACTCTCTGTTCTAAAAAACACTTAACGTTACTGCTATAAAGAAATTTTAGATAAAACTAATCCTTCTTATGGAAACAACATGCATTTGGGAAATGAAATGTCTCAAAAGCTGCTTAGAATGGGAAGGGGAAAGAAATGATCTCATGTGACAGAAGAAGAGAGATATATATATATTTTTTTTTTCAGTTTAGTAAACACTTTCCGTAAATTTGAACTTTAACACATGATAATTTTTATTTTTAGAAATGTAATATAAACTTTTTTCCTCATATATGCCAGTTCAGGGTGTTTGAGTTGCTGGTGTAGGAATTTCAGCAGAGGAGACAGGAGTTGCTTTATGCTGAAGTGTTGTCTTTTTTTTTTTTTTTTCCCCCCCTCCCCCTTAATATATTTCCAAGTTTTCACTTGCAGTTTTCACCTGATACGGACTTACTGTGTGAATTAATCGTATTTGGCACAAAATAGAAGTGGAAATGCGACTTACCTGGGTCTTAATTTGAATACTCTATTCAATGTTGTTTAAATGTATTAAAAATAAAACCCTTTTTCTTTTAAATTGGGTAGTAATAAGAGGAAGTACGTTAAGATTGTGCTTCACCCAGAAAGTGATTTGGAGTTGCTTGTATTTCTAAGTAGCCTTACATAGGCCTCTGAAGATTTTAGGATGTGAATGACCCTTGAATACTTTAGGTCTATTCATGGGTACAAGTTTCTGTGCACGCAAGGTCTTTGTTTTTTTTCTTATTTTTCTTCATACAAACTTCTTTTTACCCAGTTTGAAAGAGCATACTGAATATTCTCTTGTTTTGTGCTTATTATATTACCACATGTGAAATGTAGTTTCCATAGCTCAGTTTATTGAATTTAAATACTCCTCAGAGCTCTGGTGAACTTAAACAAGATAAGCTTAGCTCCAGATGCCTAGTGTTTCTGGAAGTTTCTAAATAAGGAATAAATATATTGTGTTTAGAATGACTGATTTA